AGTCTGGGAAAGCCAGGGCCAGGGCGTGAGCAGCTTCAGGGTCTGATGAGGACCCTCTTCCTAGATGGCTGTCTTTTCTCTGTAACCTCAAGTGGCAGAAAGGGAGGGGGGCTCTCTTGGTCCTCTTTTACGAGGACACTAATCCCTGTCTTCTCCCAAAGGCCCCCCCTCAAGGTACCATCACACTGGGGGTTAGGATTTCAACATACAAATTTTGAGGGGGACTTAAACATTCAGTCCACAGCAGAGGGGTTGCCTTGAATTACTAATTTTGTTCACTTACATTCATTTAATGAATAGAAGTGATCAGTTATTCACAGCATCTTTATGACATCACTTTCTGAAGTAGTAATTTTCAAGAGACCTCTTTTAAAAATCTGTAAAGTCTCTGAGAATATTCGTCTTTTACAACGAGGAGAAACAAAATGCCCACCTACCATCCAGTGGCCCTCTCAGATGTCTGAGGAAAAAAACCTTCTGAGTTTTTTTCCCCATAATATTCTGTTCTTGTCTCATTACACAGTTACATTCCAGATGTTTCTGCAGCCTTGGGTAGAGCACATTTTATCAATGCCCTGAGGAAACATATTGTTCATTCATGCACGAGGGAGAGTGCTTTCCAATTAAAGACGTCACATCGGAAGAGTCTTCCAAATTGGTTTCATTGAGAAAAAATGAAGGCGGCTAGAAGCCTTTCACTTGAGATTTGACAACAGCCAGAAAACTTTTGTTAATCATGAATGTTAAGTAATAAGATTTAATTAGCACGAGTTATAAATAGAATATTGCTTGGAATTTACATAGGCATAATCTTCAGTTTCTGTGTAACTGTTGGCTGTTCTTTCTACAGTTCCTCCTAAAAATGGGGCAATGATGACTCACAACCATTTGCATCATGGACTTTTCTTTTCAGAAATAGCTTATTTGGGTGAGAGCTGGGTTTTATTTTGGCCCTTTCTTCAACACCTGGTTCTCAGGTAAGTGGACCAGGTGATGCGGGGAAGGTGGGAGTGAATCTGTTGGTGTCCACTCCTTGGTCCTTTTGTGCTCCTGTATATGAGGTTGGTGTAAATGTGACCAGGAAGCCATACAGAACTGTGTGGAGAAGGAAAAGACATAAGCACCTCAGACCCACCACTAGTAAACAGGGATTTAGCAATAGCTTTGCTTATAGCACATTATGGCTGGGTCCAAGGCAAAGATTTGCAGAAAAGAAGTTAGTACTATGTAGTGTGTTAGTCAGGATTCTCCAGAAAAGCAGAACCAATGGGATGTTCCCTTTTCTTTAGGAGACCTCCATTTTTTTTTTCTCTTAAGAACTTCAACTGATTGGGTAAACCCCAGCTACATTATAGAGGGTAATCTACACTACTCAATGTCTACTGATTTAAATGTCAGTCTCATCTAAAAAATACCTTCACAGCTACATCTTGACAAGCATTTAACCAAATATCAGGGTAACATGGCCTAGCCAGGTTGACATACAAAATCAGCCATCACATTTGGTCATGCTGAGAATTGGAATTGAGACTGACTGGTTATCAGATCCTTAGACAAATGCCCTAAAATCACCTTGAAGGGTGTGTTTTGATAAAGGAGTAAGGACCAGAAACCTTTCAGTGTCGCTGAAGTCTGGCAGAAACCCTGTGTGATAGCAGTGTTTCATGCTTAATTCTAGTAACAGCCTCGAGCAGGTGGTGCAGTAATGAAGTGGGCAGGCTCCGAGGTCCGATCCCTGGAGCCTGCATCCTGACTGTTGCTTTCTGTGTGATTGGACGCAACTCACTTTCATTTCTCTCTGCTTCAGTTTCTCCTTTTATAAAATAGAGATAGGTTTAAATGTTCTGATTCATGGGAAGTTTATAGAACAGTGCTAGAAACTTACTAAGTATTCAATAAATATTAATTTTTTTATTACTTAAGTTAAGAATAAAGCCAAACATTTTCTTAATGTTTGACCATCTTAGGAACAGTTTTGTTGTTGTTGTTGATTTTGCTTCTTAGCCTTAGAGAAAGTTATGCCAGCCTCACCCTTTCCTGCCTATATCCTGGGGTTGGCATTTCAGTGTCCCCTAAGGGGCACTCATTGTAAGCAAGCTGTTTTTCATCAGGAAGGCCAAGAGAGGAAAGATTTGCAGAGACTCCTGTTAGAAAGCCCAGACATGATGGGTGGAAGATTAGCTTTCACCGAGCAGGTGTCAAGGTGGGGCAACAATTTTATGAATCCTGCAAATAAACCACCCCATTTCAATGAATTGATGTAGCAGTAAGACCACTCTAAGAAAAAAAAATCTAACAATTTCATGTTACAAAAACATTAAATGGCCATACTACCCAAAGCAATCTACACATTTAATACAATCCGTATCAAATTACCCTGGATATTTTTCACAGAACTAGAACAAATAATCCTAAAATTTATATGGAATCACAAAAGACCCAGAATTGCCAAAGCAATACTGAAGAGAAAGAATGAAGCTGGAGGAATAACCCTCCCAGACTCCAGACAAAACTACTAAGCTACAGTAATCAAAAGAGCATGGTACTTGTACTGAAATAGATATACATATCAATGGAACAGAATAGAGAGCCCAGAAATAAATCCACAAACTTCTGGTCAATTCATCTTTGACAAAGGAGGCAAGAACATACAATGGAATGAAGACAGTCTCTTCAGCAAATGGTGCTGGGATAACTGGACAGCTGCATGTAAATCAATGAAGTTAGAAT